AAGAGTGAAAGTTCCCTTTAAAAAACTTAGTTCACTATCATAATACTGTTTCATCATCCCCTGCTACTACTAGCTTAAAAAAATCTTCAGTTTTGTAATAAATGAATTCTTTCATTCCAAGATCTCATTGTAATTCTCCTTACTGTCCACCATACAATTCTGATGACATCACATGCCTGTTTGTATTGTAAAGAAAAAAAGTGTTTTGGTCCATCATAGTTAAGTTAAAGGGTTATAATTAATTCAAAAAGTGGATTCTATGAAACTGTGAAAAGAAACTAGAAATTGTCCAAATTCCATTATGTCCAGATAAGTTAACAAAAGAATCACATGCTTTCAGTGTTAGTTCTTAAATGTCTTTTGAATTATTACTGAGACCAGTTTTACACAAGTATTGTAATATAGACACTATTTCACAGTTCTGTGGTACAGACAGATGAAGGATGGAATGAGAAAAAACAAACTTGGGATGCAAGATTTTGTTAAAAAAAAGCCAGCACTTTATAAGAGTTGAAAGAATTTAACAGCATTCTTGGTTTATTTATTTCCTTGTAGAAGAGTACATGTAAAAGAAAAACTGAATTTTCTGTTCACCTTTCATAGTTTCTTGTGGTCCTTCTCCTTCTTTATCATGACCAGTGGTGGACATTTCAAGAATGGGTGAACTACCTAAGAGTTAAAGTGCATAGAGCAGTTATAATTATTAATAGCTTTCTTCAAACCACTTAAAAAGAAAAGATAGCTACAGGCATTCTAGCATGTGTCATGAAAAGATATAATCATTATAATACCCTCTGAGAGTTGGTTCTTCAAGACATCATTCAGTTCCTCAGTTACTCGTCATAAATTATTTCAAAAGAGCCCCTAATGTCAACAAAGAAGTGTTTCTGCAAAAACTTACGCTAAATTTTTGGTTTTATTAAATTTCTGAATAGCAATTAAGCTTTAGATTCAGTTATGTTTACTTTTCACTTCCTCCGACTCCACAATTTCTGTGTTCTGTCTCCTTCTTTCTAACTGTGCTTCATCTTCAGTACTTATGAAGTATGACTGAGCCGACAAAGCATCTAAAATAAAATTTAAAAGAAAACCAATTATGTGAGTTTTAACCATTCAGACACTAAAAACTGCATTTTCAATAATATTATATGACAGTTACACAGATCTTATTATTCTGTGGTAGATAACCTAGATTTAATTAATTTTATCAACCAAAACTACTGCTTCCTGATATCATTTCCTCATTTATTCTTTTCAAATAAATTTTATAAATAATTCACAATAAAATTTAACACAGCCAAAAGGAAGAAAAGCACTATTTCAAGCAATAATTAACACACACAGACAGACAGACAAGTAAAGAAATGAAGAAAGTTCAATTGACTCTAAACAAAAGTTTAGATACTGACTAACATCTTGCAAACAAATCTTTTATAGCAGGACTTTCTGAGAGAGTCAGCACATAAACTTTTTCAATTAGACGTACAACATGTTCTGTCTTGATAGAAAACTAAACCAATTCTTCATATTGTAACAGTTTTAAAACCCACTCCATGATGAAAGAGAGAGACATTTTTCAAATATAATTTTATTCTATGAAAGTTACACAGATATTATAATTGTGTGGCAGATAACCCACATTAAATGTTTTAATTAATTAATTAATTTTTATCAACCAAAACTACTGCCTCCTGATATCATTTCCTCATTGATTCTTTTCAAATCAATTTTATGAATAATTCAAAATAAACTTTAACACAGCCAAAAGGAAGAAAAGCACTATTTCAAGCAATAATTAAGAGCAGGTTGGTGGCATTGAGTTTTTTCTTTTAACACAAACAGACAGACAAACAAGTAAAGAAATGAAGAGAGTCAACCAACTCTAAACAAAAATTTAGATACTGACTAGCATCTTGCTAACAAATCACTTCTAGCAGGACTTAGACAGTCAGCACATAAACTTTTTCAGACATGTTCTGTCCTGATAGAAAACTAGACCAATTCTTCATATTGTAACAGTTTTAAAACCCACTCCATGATGAAAGAGAGATACATTTTTTCCAATATTTTTGAGACAATCTGGTTTTGTACAGTACTAACCTCTGAGTGCAACTTTCTCTAAGTACAATTTGCATGCATTGTACTCTTCTATGTCCATTGTTGTTTTCAGCTTCAGCTCTGCCAGGTTCAGTTCCTTCAAGATCTTTTCTGTGACGAAACAATTTTGAACCACTTCACCCATGTGACCAGATAAATATTCTCTCCACAGTTCCTCCAAGATCTGGAGAGATTTACACTTCACTGTTATCACCAAACTTCCTTGTCGAGCACGTGTCATGAAAGCTCCCAGGTTTTCCAAGAACTCCATGAACTCATCTCGCTCTTCCTTGTTCTGTGGTGGTGTAGTCTTGAGATAGCTTTTCCCAGCTAATAAAAAGAATTCCTCTCTAAGTGCTTGGAGAGATTCTGTGTCTGGATGAGACACACTTCTCATGATGGGAGTTGTTGTCTGATTATTGGATTCAGCAGGTTTTTGGTCTTCCACATCAATAGTAATATTCAACTCATCATCTGCTGATTTGTAATGAAAAGCAAAAATTAATCATAATCCTTATAATTCAACATGGTGTGCATCTAAAATCTCTAATGAAATACAGTGAAAGATAACAGTTGAATCTTGTTCCAACAAACGCCTGTTGATTGGCGTGGCACTGTCCGTTGGGAAGGCCCAGAAATACCGCGCGCTTTTATTTCAATATAACTAAATATATTCAAATAGGTCGTGAGAGAAAGAGGGTCGTTGTTCAGTGCTCGCAGATTTCCGACTAATGAGTTTTTCTGTCGCTGTAGTTTCGCCAATTTTGTTTAAAACATAATTTCGTCTCGTCGAAACAATCTGGTTCCTTTAATGGTCCACCTCCTTTTTTAAAGGAAGAAAGAAGAGATACTTGAAGTGCCACTGAAACGAAATTTTCGTATCTGAAATTTTTGCTCTAACCTGTAGTTTTGAATATGGTGATCATCATGAGATAATTTGCTTTGGCCAAAATGAGGCAAAAGATATCTTTTTTAACCGTTCAAATAAAAAATTTTACACAAAACCATGTCCGGGCTCTGGTACCGAGCGAAATGGATTGATGACGTCACTGGTTGTGTTCACTCCGATAGTGTGGTTTACTTCACTCACTGTTTTGTTTGTATTCGTGGGCGAAGGAGATGGCAGATATTGAAGTTTCGTCAAGTGAATCTTCTTCTGAACGAAGCGAAGTTGTCTCCAGTAGCGAAGAAGAAGATGGTGCCGTAAAATGGGGTTGACAGGCCTACACGACTCCCCAGTAGCACTTTAAGGAACAACAATGACAATGTCCATTCCAATCCCTAAACTATTAGGCATTGCTTTCAGGAATCTTTATGTAATTACACAAGCAAAAAAACACAATTTTTGCATGCCCACAAGTTCAATATTTCTAATGTATTAATTAAAACTCAGACCATTTTTAATTTCCAAGCCTCAAGCATGAGAAGACACACAGGGCTTGCACTGTGAGTATCACAGAGAGCTTTATACAATTCCTTATAATTTTATTATAAGGAATTGTATGGAGCTTTTTTAGCGTTAGTCGTGGCGCGGCTGGTGTTGTCATGTATGATCCTTGCGAGGATCATATGTGACAACACCCACCGCACCTCAACTAATGCTAAAAAAACTCCATACAATTCCTTATAAATTTATTATAAGGAATTGTATGGAGCTCTCCGTGATACTTACAGTGCAAGCCCCATGCGTCTTCTCATGTAAAGAGACTAATTTCTTGAAGATTCTTTGCCTTCATTGTGTTTTGCTAGGCCTAAGAAAGGAGAGGACAGTAATAGTGGTATCTTTCTCAAACATCTTGTCCTTTCTCTGTTTGATTACTATCTTTTATAGGTGCATTCCTATCTTGAAGCACAGTTGTTGCAGAGATAAAATAAAAGAGGCCATCTCCATAGTCATCACTACATGTACACTGAGATGTGTTTTTTCTATTTCCCAGCAGACTTGGCAAGGCAAAGTAAGTTTTGTAATTGCACAGGAATAATTAAGTTATCTTTTTTCCAACATCTAGATTTTTTTAAATTCTCAATAAACCACCGCCTCATTAGAATTGAATGGTACGTTGGTGCTATAGATTAAAGATAGCCACAGAGGAGGGAAACAATCTCCTCAGCTGCCAGAAAGTCACCATGGAAACTAAACCACATACAGCCCACCGCAACTTAAGTCAAAACAACACAGACAACCCAAAATGTGGAATCAACACTTACCCAAGAAGTGGGAGGGAAGGTAATTAAGAAGCTAAGGAAAACAGAACTAGCAAAGTAGCAAGAAAAACCAAGACAAAGAACAAAGCAATTTTAGTGTTTGTGTAATAGTATCGGTGATGACGTAATCTAATTAGCATGAAGCACGTGAATGAGGTGGTGTGATGTATATAGAAGGAGTGTGCGAGTGAATAAAGGTGTGTTGCAATGCGGATTCCGTGTGCTCTTTAAGTTCCCGACAAGATACTAAAGCAATGTTCCTGGAAAACCTCCCTTTGGCCTCCTCACATCCCTGTGGTGAAACCAGTGCATTGACATCTGTACCCAAGGTTTTAGCCTTGACTAAAAATTAATACCTTCATAGTCTCATTAAATTGCTAGACTGCAGTGATAGCTAAAACACATAAAGTGTTGCAAGCATTACAAGAATCGATAAACAAGATTAATGGTAAATAGCATACAAAAGATAATAAATTTTGAGCTTGGCAACGAAACAGAGGAAGGTGTTTTTTCTTCCTGTCTAAAATTTTTCTGTTCATGAGAACTCAGACAAGCTCGCGACAAGACGAAAACATCTACTTCTGTATTTCCTTACCGATCTTAGAATTGACCGTTTTTCTTCGCACATGACGATTTCGACATTAATAATCCTAACGGTAAACAAGTTTATGTTGACATATTTTTACGTGAGGTTCGCTCGCTTCAAGCTTCAGTTAAGCTTAACTTATCACTATGGTACAGCGTCATTATAAACC